GGCCATGCTCCCTGTCTGGGGAAGAGAACCCAGGAGTCCTGGCTCCCCTATCTCTTGGTATCACCATGAGGTGACGCTGGCTCCTGTCAACTGTGGGTCCCCCAAAGAGGAGCTTTGGTGGCAGGCTGTTGGAGGTGGCGTGGAGGGCACATCCATTCGTGGAGTCGTGGGGGCCGGTTGCTTTGGGGGGCCCCACGGGGTTGGGCAGGCCTAGCAGCTAAAGCAGGGCTGTGGCTTCAGAACAGCTGGGTTCTGGTTTCCCAGCTCTGCCACTGACTCACCGTGATACCTTGGCTGAGTCACTCACCTGTGTGTGAAGGGGATGAGGATGCTGCTCTGCTGCCCCGGCGGGGTGTGGGGGAGGATCCCCAGAGGAAGGAGCACTGCTGGCCTGGGGCCCGTGGCAGGGAGGGAGGGGGGAAGTCAGAGTCCAGGACCCGCTCAACGCTTGCTGGCCCCCCCCGCCTGGCTCTGTTGCTGGGGCAGCAGAAACTCCTTTGCTTGGCACAGGCAGCAGGGAGTAACTTGACCTTCCAGCGCACAGGCTGTGCCTTGCGTAAGACTTAGCGCCTCGGAGCCAGGGGAGCTAACCCTGCTGGGAATGCAGGTGCCATGCACCGAGTGTCTCCGCTTAGCCCTTTCTCCAGGGGCTGTAAGCTGGGGGCTGGGCAGGGCATGTAGCAGCGGGGCTGGGGGACCCCCCAGATCATCCAGCGGCTTTGCATGAGGGTCTGTGCTCACTGGTGGCCCCGGGTGCTCTGCGTGTGCGGTCGCCGTGGTGCGTGGGCGCTGCTGGATGGCAGCCGAGCTCAGGCTCCGCACCTCTCCAGCCCTGTCGCCCATCGAGGAGTCCTGCTGGCTCCATCGCCCCGGGGTGCTGAGGCACTTGGGGGACGGGGTCTGGACGGTGCTGAAAGCTCCGGATGCGGTGGGGGGTTTGCAAACGGCTTTGATTTCCCTGCATCCCCGCTGCTCCCGCCACAGAATCCTGCCCGGCGTCCCTGGGATTCTGAGCTGGAAAAGACTTGGCTGGGTCCCCTCCCCGCTCTGCCAGTGGAGGAAGGGCTGGGGCATGCAGGCCAACGTGGGTACTGGCCCTGGGGCTAGGGGCCGACATGGCTGGCGGTGGCGGGAACGGGGCTGTGGGGTCCAGAAGCAGGTCTGGCCTTCGGGGCCTGCGGGTCCCTGAGGGGGTATAAAGAGCCGTGCGGAGTATTAGCTCCCTGAGGGGCATGCGGGTGTCGGGGAGGGAGGTGCTGCTCAGAACTGAGGTCCCAGCCCTTGGGTGCCTGCGGCCGCATCCGGGAGCGGCAGGCTGCTGCCCCGTACTCCCCCGGCCGTGCGCGCTCGCTCTCCGGGATGGCAGGATGCCCCGCTGGGGTGCAGGGGACTCGCTGCGGAGCCGGGATTGCCGCTTCCCGTCAAGCAGGGCTGGGGGCCGAGGGATCCTCCCGTGGGGCCTGCTGCACTTCGCAGCAGAGGGGAGAGGCTGATCTGGGGCAGAAGGGGGGACCCCGGACAGCCCCACAAATGGGCCCGTAGCAGATCCATGGACCCGGAGAGGGGCCAGGCCAGGAAGCTGAGGCCCCGCTGGCCCCTTCCGACCCTCCAGGAGGTCCCCAGCCTGAGTCCCCCGTGCCGGATCCGAACCCCGCTGCCGGCTGGACCCTTGAGCCTTCCTGTCTGTGTCCAGGCCTCTAGCAGCTGCTCTCACCGCTGCCCAGACCCGCACTGGAGAGGAGGGAGAGTTCTCGCTCTCTCATCCCTTCCCTGAAGGTGCTGGCACTGGTGGTCTAACGCTGGAGAGGTTGGTTCTCCGTGCAGCTGTCCAATCCCTGTTTGAATTCTGCTAACTCCTGTGGCAGGGAGTTCCGCAGGCTAGCTAAGTATTGTGTGATTAACAGGCTTCCTTTGTACGTATTGAACTGGCCACCCTTTAATTTCTGAACCCCTGTGTCCGAAGGGCTGGGCCCCCGTCTGCTCCCTGCTAGAGGTGCTGGCAGGCTCCCAGCAGCACGAGAGGTCAGATCGGTCTCTGCCAGCTTCTAGCACTGACCTATTAGGAGGACGTCCGAGCGGGTGTGGCCCCAGAGCCTTCAGGCAGGTGCAGCCTTCGAGCGGTTAACCCTGGGCCAGTTCTTTGAGAGCCCTAAATTTAAACCACCCAAACCTGAATGACTGCACGGCTGGTGGCTGCTGCGAGCTCCGGGCTGGGACGTCTGACGTGTGCAGCCCCTGATACCCAGGTCATTGGCATTACAGCCACTGCTGCCTCTCTGCAGAGGCATTTCCTTTGCCCGGGGAAGCAGAACCAGCCGTGCTGGGACCCAGCCTGGGTTTTCTCCAGCTGCTGAGCTTTTAGCAGCGATCGGCCGCTTCTGTCATTGGGGTTTCAACCCCTTCGCCCCACGCGCCAGGCTTGGCGGCTCTAGGAGGGGCTGGCCTGCCAGCGGGTCCTGCTGCTTCTGGAGGGGTTCAGGTTGTGCTGATGTCCAAGGAGTCTCCAGGCCTGCTAGGGCACGGTCCAGAGTGCAGTGGGGAATGAGTTTGTGGTGATGCAATGCAACCTTTGCGCCCGGTCTGTCTGACACGGGCTGCGAGTGATCAAAGGTCCTTGTGTTCTTAAAACGTCGCCTGCTCTGCGTGGACCTCGGAGCGCGGCTCGGGGCGGGTGAGCGGTGTTCCCAGGTGCTGCCTGCGGCTCCGTGAGGGACTTTGCCGGCTTCCTTCCAATCACTGCCATGGCTCTAGTGCCGGTGGCAGGCGGGACTGACTGCACCAGGCCCCGTGTGTGTGTGTGTGTGTGTGTGTGTGGCACATGCTTCCCTGGGCCCCTCTGAATCCCCCAAGAAGAGGTAAAGTCCAGAGCAAGGGCATTCTATGTGGCCAGACGTCTGTCCTGCTTGGCGCGGCCTGGCTTGGACCCGGCAGAGAGGAATGCCAGCAGTGAGCCAGGCTGACTGTAGTGTCGCGGTTACCAGGCCCCAGTGACCCATTCGGAGCCTAAATACCTTTGTGGGCCTGGGCCAAAATCTCCTCTGTTTGTTCAGAGACTGATTTCTCCAGCTTGCCCTGAGATTTATCCCCCCCCCACGCCCTGCTCCAATTGCCCCTGCAAAATGCAACCCCCCCAACACAATCCCCTCCCTCCCTGCCCCTGTCCTGTCGCCCTCTGCGGCGAATACCAGGTTACGGGCTGAGCGCACAGCCAGGGCTCACGGGCCATTCTAGGCCGACGGATGCTGTGGAGTGGCAGGGCCCAGTGTGGGGCAGAATCTGACAATGGACCTGGCGGCGTCCTGAGCCACTCGGCCAAGGGAGCCCCAGAAACGTGTCCTGGGGGCGTCAAAAGATCTGGGCAAAATGTCTGGAAATTCTGGCATGTGCATGTGCAGGGCCTCTGGGCCACCGCGCTGGTCACAGCCGCGGTGCAAAGGGGACGCTGCTGGGGGTGGCTGAGCGGATCTGGGGGTGGCCACTTCGTGGGAGGTTCCCTTGTAGGTCCAGGCCCGGACTTCCTAAAAGAGCCCAGGCTGGCAGCTCTGGGTTGGAGGGTAACTTTAAACTGGAGCTGCGTCACCCCCGCACCTCCCCTTCTGCTCGGGCACCGGTGGGACAGCAGCTGCAGGGGCAACCCACAAGGGCCTCGGGGCTGCAGGGTGTCCCATCTCCAGCTGGGATGGAGTCAGGCAGAAATCGGTATAGAAGCCCTGTCCCCGCCCCCAGTGCAACGCTGGGTATTGTGTGGTGGGCAGGCCGGGGGCTGCTGTCCTGCGAGATACCCAGCGCGAGCTGCTCCTGGCGGGGGCACCACAGCTCTGCGCTGGGATCCTGCCCGGGGTGTCGGCGCTTTCCCTACAGCTGCTCTTCAGGGCTTGGATAGTAGCAAATGTGGGGGTGGATTGAGGGGGGGAATGGGGAGCGCAGGGGGGGGGGAATCCAGGTGCCTGGGCCACCTCTGACCCATGTGTCCCTCCCTCCCTCTCTGCAGATCTGCACGCTGCTCTTCGCCAGCCTCTACATCCTGTGCCACTTCATCATAACCCGCTTCAAGAAGCATGCGGACTTCACCGCAGGTAACCGGCCGGGCCCCCGCTCCTGGCTCCGGCTGCCCCTTCCTGCACGGGGCAGTGCCCGGCTCCGAGCCACGGCTCCATCCCCGGGAGTGGCAGACCCATGCGCCCTGGCCTCCCTGTGCGTGGTGTGGGAGGGACAGCGTTTGTTGAATTCCAACTCCTAGGCCCCCAGCAGCCCCCCCGCCCCGAGCTGCTTGAGCCAGGGGCCGAACCTCCTGCAGCAGCTTTGCTGTGTTGTTTGGTGCATCCCCTGGGGAGACCCCGTCCCGCTGGGGAGGGCCCCTCTTGGTTTGTTTACATCGCTGCTGTGTTGTGGTTGCCATGGACAACATCCCCCCCCCCCCCAGGGAGCTGGGCTCAGAGACCAGCATCTCCCGAGTGTTGCCCGGGTGCTGTCGCTAAGCGCGGCGGCGTCACCATGGTGTTTCCCTCCCCGGGCTGTGCAGCGAGCCCAGAGCCAGATGTCAGGAGGCCGGGGGGAGGAGCAGGGAGATGGGGCCGAAACACCAGGCCCCCCCTGGCAGAGCCTGTGGCAGGAGAGCTGCCTAGTGGCCTCTCCGCCTGACCCAGCACCGTCCTTGTCCTCCCTGAGGAGTTGTCTTACCAAAGGCCGAACCCGTCCCGTCCCCGGGGTTCCCCCCACCGTGCTGGGGGCTGCATGAGATGGAGCCGGGCTGCCCGGCATCCTGTGAGCTGGGGCGGGCAGGAGCCGAGGGGGCGTCTGGGCACAGAATGGGGGAGGGGGCTGCAGGCTCTGGCGAGAGCCGGGAAGGGGACCCTCTGCCCCCCGCCAGCCCTGCATCTCTGAGCGGAAGCTGCGCTCCCTGGGGAGCAGCCCAGCGCCGAGGGTCAGCGTGGGGCTTGTGGGCGACAGGCTGGCGTATTCTGTGCCGTGGGTGCACGGGTATCCTTGGCTGTGCGTTGGGGGGTGTAGCGCGTTCTCTGCCAACTTCCCTCACACACGACTCCCCTGGGGGGGGTCTGCGGACCCCTGGATCTGGCCCGACGCGCTGCGTTCCCCGGGCACAGACCCCCGTGTGGTCAGGGACTCGTGTGCTGAGGCCGGGTCTTGGCTTCCGCCGTGCCTGGCAGGGGTCCCCGGGCTGCTCCCTGCTGGCTTGGGAGGGGGCCCGCATCTCCCAGTGCTGTGTGCACCCCGGCTCTCGCCAGGGCCTGCTGGCGGGGCTATAAATAAATAAGCATTGGCCCATACGTCCCCCCCTCTGCCCGCCCTGCACATGTTGACCCCGGCTCCTCTGGCCACCTGCTGTCTTGCCCTCCCCCCACGACGCTCCTTTGCCCCCACAAGCCAGGCTGTGTGGCTCAGGGCCCAAGCATCTGGTCTGAAATCCAGATGGTGCATTTCCCAGTCGAGTGAAAGCTCCACTGTCTGTCGCGTCTGGCCTTGCCCTGGGGCTGGGGGTGGAGCGGGGTGCCCCCTAGGGTGGGGGTCCGTGCCCTGGCAGCGACCCTCCTGGCGGAGTTGCAGGCCCCGACTCCTCAGCTCCCGAGCTGGACGGGGCGGCTTGTCTCGCCTCCCGCTCCGTTCTCCAGTCAGGTCCTGAGCAGGTAACGCTGCAGCCTGGGCGAGCGGCGCGGCGGGGGGCCAGCATGGAAACACACGGTGGAGATTCAGTCAGGAGAGCGCTTCCCTCTGAGCCAAAGCCGGTCTCTGGGGGAGGGCGTGAAACCGAGCTCCTGGCCTGGTGGTGGAGATCCCGGGATCCTTTTCGTGAGAGTCGGGGTCTTGTGTCCTACATGCTGGCCAAATTCCACGTGAATCCTGCTGCGCCCATGTCAGTGGGCTGCGGGATGGGCAGCGATGCTGTGGGCTGTTAATCAGCGGCCGGGCCCCACCCCAGAGGTGGCTGCTTTTCAGGCTGAGGGAAGCAATCCCTTACCTGCTGTGTGCGGAGGATGAGGCTTAACTGGTGTCTGTAAAGGGCTTTGGCTGAGAGAGGAGGGGGTATTGCAGGGGCTTGGGGTGGGGGGTTGACAATGCTTGTATGCCTTGCTCCCCTTCCCCGCTGCACTGCCCCCCCCCCCCCCCGGCTCGCTGGCTCTTTTCCATGGGAGTTGCTACCCCTGAGGAAACTCTGCCCTGAATAGCTTTCCTGATGGGACCATTCCACCCTCAGCCAGGGTCTCTGGGTGCCCTGTGGGGCTGGCCTGCCTTGGGGACCGCCAGTGTGGGCGTGCTGCCGCAGGGCAGGGGGTGACAGCCCCGGTGCGCTGCCCCTGCTTTGGGGGTGCTTGGGGCGAGGTCTGCCTGGGCAGACAAGTCCTTGGAAATGTAGCCTCCCTGTTCCCCTGCCCTGTGCTCTCGCTGAGCCGCTTTCCCGCAGTTCTTTGGGCAGCATTTCCATAGTTTTTACTGCTGCCCTGCAGCGGCCCTGGTGCCGACCCCTGTGCTGTGCCGGCACTGAGTCGCCTGCCGCACGGACAGGTTCCGGGGTGCGAGGAACGGCTGCTGCAGCCGGGGTTGGGGGGCTTGGTGAGCGTCGGGGGATGGGAACTGGGCTGTGAGCATTCGGGTTGGCACGGAGCTGGGAGGGGCTGGCCAGGGAGCAGGAGGAGAGGAGACGTGTGACCTGAATACGGATGGGAGCTGCTGCCGGCTTGGTGGGAGTGAAGGCGGAGATGGGGGAGGGGGCTGCTGAGCCCTTTGTTAGGAGGTGCTATCTTGATATAGCCCCCCTGCTCCCCCCAGCCCCTTCCCCTTTTCCCATCGCTCAGCCCCCAGCAGCCTCGGGGTTGGTTGGTGTAGTGAAATCCAAGCCCAGGATGATTCCTGGGGGTCGGGGTGGGGGCTGCGCCTGGGCTGGGCAGAGCTGGCCCCGGCCTATGTTGCTGCCCAGGAGATCTGTGCACAGGCCCGGGGGGCGTCAGGCAGCCAGGTACAGCCCCCAGGAGCCTGCCTTGGGGAGACACCAGCGGGCACCTGGGCTGGTCTGAGTCACCGTTGCCCCCGTCTCTTCGCTGCGCGTGGGTGGCAATGGAGGTGCCCACGTTCCTGTCCCTGCCGGTTCGGGGTGCCAATCGCTGCTTGATGGGTCGGCTCCTTTACTAAGAAAATGGCAAATAATCCCAGTCCACCAGATTTACCGAGTGTGAGCCAGATCAGTGAGCACAAATACAGAGAGGGGGCTAAATCTTCCCCAAGCCAGGGCTACAGCATTGGGACGCAGCTGAGGTGTGTGTCTGTCTGTCTACACACACTTCTTAGCCTGTTACCCTGGGCACAAACTCCCCAAAATGACTTGGTCCTAGTACTTCAGTTCCTGGGCACTCTGCCCTTGCTGTCCCGGGCTGTTGGAAATCCGCGCTGTTTTTAGCAACAATTCTGTCTGTTCTTATTATTGTCTCAAACCTCAGCACAGTTCTCTGCGTGCCCCCAGAACAAAAGCATCCGCGTGGTTTTTAATGTGGCTCGGTACAGAGATGCTGGGGACAAGGGCTCGCTTTAGCAGAAGTTTGGATTCTCTTAAAAACACCTAATATTGGCTGAATAATTCTGGTCCCAGTGCTCTCCGGCCCCGGCCCTGCGCCAGGACATCCAGCTGCAGGGCAGTGAGGGAAGGGTCTGTCTGGGACAAGCTGCGAGCCGGGGTATTCCGGCAGCTCCTGGGACCCCCGCTGCGACCTGGTGCAGAGAGACCCTGCCCCCAAGCAGTGCCCATTTCCCGTAGGTGAGGCAGACAGAGGCCCCTTCTCCCCATCTTAGCGCTGGGGGAAGAGGGGCTTCGCCCTGGCCCTCGCCGGCGTCGCTAGCAGAGCCACGAAACCTCCCACCACACCCACCCCACAAAACCGAGTTGCGGCTCTTGGCCGAAGCTGCCCCAACTCTGCCCCGTGAGGTGTAACGAGCGTGAGGGTCTCGGCCGAGCTGACTGGATTTCTCCCCCCTCTCTGCAGTTGAGGATGACGAGGATGCTGCTGTCGACAGAATTGCGTAAGTTTCTGGCTGTCCTTCACCCCTTCCTGTATTGACGCACTTCCCACCCAGCGTGCTGGGACAGGGATCGCAGCTTGAGCAGGGGGGTGGGGCTCAGGACTCCTGGGTTCTATCCCCGGCTCGGGGGGGAGGGGAGGGCCAGCGGCTAACGCATCTCTCCCCGAGGCACGTGCTGGTTTGAGTCTCACTGGGCTGCTCTGCGCACTGAGACCTGGCAGAACTCGTGTCACCGGCTGCCTCGGGGCGAGGAGCGTCTGGCACTTGCCCCGGGGTGCTGCCTGCTCACATTCCAGCCATGGCGGGGGCTGCCGCCTCTCCCACAGCCCTGTCCCCTCGCTGGCTCTGCCCTGCACCCTGGGGGCCATTCGGGGGGCTGGCTGGGGTAGGGGCGGAGGAGTCGCGTGGGGGCAGGGCAAGGCTCATGCACGTTCACCCCCTCCGCCCCCCCAGGCTGTCGATGTGCACCTTCACGCTGGCCGTCTCGCTGGGCGCCGTCCTGCTGCTGCCCTTCTCCATCCTCACCAACGAGGTGCTGCTGCTCTTCCCGCACAACTACTACATCCAGTGGCTGAACGGCTCCCTGATCCACGGTGAGCGCCCGCCCCGCTGCCCGGGCGGCTCTGCCCCGGAGCTCACGCTGGCCTGGGGCTGGTCCTGGGGGGCTGTGCTAACCTGCCCGTCTCTCTCCAGGCCTCTGGAATCTGGTCTTCCTCTTCTCCAACCTCTCCCTGGTCTTCCTCATGCCCTTCGCGTATTTCTTCACCGAGGCCGAGGGCTTCGCGGGATCCAAGAAGGTACCAGCTGCCCGGCCCGTCTCCTCCCCTCCCCCCCCCCCCCCCCGGTGCCACCCGCTCCGGGTTAAACTCTCGCCCTCCCCTCGCAGGGCATCCTGGCCCGAGTCTACGAAACCTTCGTGGTGCTCCTGCTGCTGACCCTGCTGGTGCTGGGGATGGTCTGGGTGGCGTCGGCCATTGTGGACGAGGACGCGGGCAGCCGGGAATCCCTCTATGGCGAGTGACCGGGGCGGTGATGGTGGGAGGGGGTGTTTTCCCAGCTCTGGGAACAGGGAGTATGTTCCAGGGGCTGGGCCCGGACTCCTGGGTTGAATTTTTCATCTCTGCCAGTGGCTTGTTATGAGAGGGGCAAAACTCTGCCCTGCCCCATGCCTCAGTTTCCCTATCTGCATAGTGGGGTGATTGGTACCCCCCCTTGCTGTGATGCTCTGGGGTCAAAGGATGACACTACCTATCAGGGGTGCTGTTTAATGCCCCCCCCCCCCCCCCCCACTCTGCTCCGCTGGGAGTGACCGTCTCCTGCTGAGTGCCAAGGAATCCCAGCCCCCTGCACTGAGGGTCTCCCAGGCCCCCGGCGTACCCCAGCCTGGGTGTGTAACTTTAACCCTCTCCTCTCCACAGACCTGTGGGAATACTACCTCCCCTACCTCTACTCCTGCATCTCGCTCTTCGGGGTGCTGCTGCTGTTGTGTAAGTGGCGGTTTGATTGCTTTGGGGGCGGAGGGGGGATCTGTGGGGTCCAAGCTGAGTTACCAGCCCTCCCCCCCCCAAGCAAATGCAAGGGGGCAGGCTGGCTATATGGTTGGGGTGCCGGGCTGGGATCCCGGAGACCTGGCTTCTGTTCCTGTCTCTGACACAGACTGCCTAGGTGACCTGGGGGGGTGTCGCATAGTTCGACTGGGAGCTTTCTGGGACAGGGTCTGTCCCCTCCCCCGAACAAAGGCCCCTGTAGCCAGACTCTGCCTCCAGCCCTGATCCCTGCATCTCCTGCTCGGTCTCCTGGACGTTTTCGAGCTGGCTCTGGTCCGGAAAAGTCCTGCTGCGAACACAGAGGCCGGAATTTCCCACCCCCCGACCTGGATAACCTCTGGGTGGATTTTTCTGACCAGTCCCTTTCGGGTGGTGCCGGGGTCTCCGTGACGGACAGGCCAGGTACCCACAGGGTGGAGCGTGCACTCTAGCCAGGCTGGCACCTGGAGGGGGCAGTGCCCCTCCCGGACACCCTGCCACGCCTCATGGCCATGGAACAGCGGCTGTGTTCATCAGAGGGGTCACCCGCTGCTCTCCGAGCCCGATCCGGGTTAGGGAAGGAACTTGCGGGGGGGATTTCAGGGCAGGGGCCTGTTGTCCCAGCCCAGAGCTGCCTCTCCAGCTCTGGGTGCCGAGACCACGCAGGCCCCAGGCTCGAACCCGCCCTGCTGGCATGAACAGACGGGGCCCAGTCCCTTGGGTTCCTTTTGCCAATAGAATGGCGCCCCCTGCTGGTGGAAGGGGGGCGGGGGTGCCGGTGCCTGTTCTCACCCTACTCCTTTGCTCTGTGCCCCCCGCAGTGTGCACGCCCGTCGGCCTCTCCCGCATGTTCACCGTCACCGGGAAGCTGCTGGTCAAGCCCCGGGTAAGGCTCCCTGGTCCTGCCCTCGCCCCATCTCCTGCGCCCCCACCGCCGCGGGGGACCCCCTTGTTTGCTTGGGGCCAAGCCCCCACTGGGTGCCGGCTGGGGGGGCAGCCGTTCCAGTCTCTCCCTGCGCTGTGGGGGACCCGGCAGGGGTTGGGGTGTCCGTGGGTCGAGCCCTCAGTGGGGGAGGGACGGGGTGTTGCTCCCCCAGCTGCGTGGTGGCTAACGGGCTCCGTGCTCTCTCGGCCCCCCCCCCCCCCCCCCCCAGCTGCTGGAGGATCTGGACGAGCAGCTGAACTGCACAAGGTTCGAGGAAGCCGCCCTCTCCCGCAAGATCTCTGCCAGTGAGTGTCCCCCATCCCCCGCCCCCGGGCTCGCTCCAACGGGCCCCTTCCCGGGGGGGCTCAGCCCCCCCCCCAGTTCATCCCTCAGGACTCTCTCCTTCTGCAGGCCCCACCTCCTGCTGGCTCAGCTTGAACGCGGCTCTGCTCCGGGAGCGGTTCCTGGCCATCCAGAGCCGGAGACTGGCGCTGGGTAAGGAGCGGGGGTGGGGAGGGGGCGGAGCCGGACTCCTGGGTTCTCTCCCTGCTTGCTGGGCGGTGAGATCAGTTGGATGCTCTGATCTGGGGGGGTGGAGCCGCGACCATTGCTCACCTGGGGGTGTCCTGTGCTTCCCGGCAGAGCTGCGGCGTGGTGCCTCGCCCTGGCAGCGGAACCTGGGCTACCCCCTGGCCATGCTGTGCCTCCTGGCGCTGACGGTAGGTGCTGCGGGGGGGGCTGATGTCTGTGTCTCAGTTTCCCTGCTTGTTGGGGGGGGGGGGGGGGATTCTCTGTGGAGCCCCCGGGGGAAGGAGCCCCCCCGAGGGTGCCGGGAGGAGGCCGCACTGACCTCCCGTCTGGTCCTTCCCAGGGCATCGCCGTGCTCGTGGTCTGTTTCCATACGCTGGAGCTGCTGCTGGATGACGCTGCCATGCCGCGGGGGATCCAGGTACCGCGGGAGGGGGTCTGAGCGGAGTTTAACCCTTCCCTCTCTGCCCTGGGCCCAGGCATGAAACAAGTTTGCTGGGTCTTAGCCCAGCTCCCAATAGACGCACCATCAGCAACAGGGAGACCCAGCTATCTAGCCCCATAGCAAGGCCCCTCCAGGTCGGGGGCGGGAGGTTCACCCTGCACTACATGGATCCAGGGAGGGGGAAGTGCTCACCAGGTGACCGCGTGAAGGGGCTCCGGGACGTCCTGTGACACCAGCCCAGAGCTGGCTGATCGGTTCCTGCTCCAATCTGCCCCCCGCCCTGACCCCCTTCTCTGCTCTCTCTCTCTCCCTGCAGGACGCGCCCCTGGGGCAGGCCTCCTTCTCCATCTTTGGGTCCTTCGGTGCCGCCCTGCAGGTGGTTCTCATCTTGTATCCTTGGGGTGCGCAGCCCCAGCCCCTCTGTCTGATCCCTGCAGGGGGGCTGCTCTCTCTGGGCCTTCGGGAGCAGGGCCTGGGTTTGAAGTATCAGCAAGCCCAGTGCCCCCCTTCCCTGCCCCTCTGGGTGCTGTGCCCACAGCCCAGACCCTGCATCGGCTCCCTGGGCCCAACAGATCTCCCCTCCCCACTCCGTTATTCCTCCTTAACCCCTGGACTCAGCTATCTAATGGTCTCCTCCGTCGTGGGCTTCTACAGCTCCCCCATGTTCACCAGGCTGCTCCCTGCGAGGCAGGATACCCCCATGACCAAGGTAAGTGGTACCTGCCCCTCCGCCACCAGGTGCCCCCTGCCCCAGTGCAGGGCCGCTTCCTACCCGCAGGCAGCCACTGGGGACCACGGTGCCCTGGGCCCAGGACGCCTGGGTTCTCTTCCCGGCCCTGCTGCTGGGGGCGGCTGCACTGCATCATCTCGCCACACGAGGGCGCCATGCACCCGGCACCAGGCTGGATGGGGAGAAGCCCAGTTGTGAGCTGCCCCCTGTCAGATGCCCCCCAGCAAGACGTGGCCGCTCAGCGGGAGCCCCCCACGCGCCCCAGGGCCAGAGTCCAGCTGGGGATCTTGGTTCCCTAATTCTAGGGGTGGGGCCACAGGTGTCTGGTGGCTCGCTGGGCGGCGGATACGGAGTTGCTGCGGTGATCGGGGGGGCGGGAGGGGTCCTGTGCCCATACTGGGGTGCAGCACCCGTGGGGGCAGGGGGAGTCCGGCTCCCAGGTTCAAGGCCTGTCTCTCCCCTGCCCAGATCATTGGGAACTGCGTGTCCTTGCTGGTGCTCAGCTCCGCGCTGCCCGTCTTCTCCAGGACACTGGGTGAGTCTCGCGCGCCCCTGGGGTGGGACTGAGTGGCTCCCGATACGCACTGGGCCAGCAGAACTGCCCCATCCAGTTTGCTGGGGGTTGGAGCTCTGGAGCAGCTGCTGTGGGGCTGTAGGTCGGGATTGAGGGGCAGAGGCAGAGCTGGAATAACAAGGGGCTGTGGGTCAGGAAGGGGGGGGGGGGGGGGGGGGTGCGGGGGGGGGTGCAGTGGGGCCCAGCCTCTCTGAGGGGAGCGCTCAGCCTCTCTCTCTTGCAGGAATCACGCGGTTTGACCTCCTGGGCGACTTCGGCAGATTTAACTGGCTGGGGAATTTCTACATCGTTTTCCTCTACAACATGCTCTTCGCCACCCTCACCACCCTGTGCCTGGTGAAGAAGTTTACATGGGCCGTGCGGGCCGAGCTCATCCGAGCCTTTGGTGAGTCCTGGGCCCCCCGCTACCCGTGGGGGAGCCGGTCCCCGGGCCAGGAAGCCTGGGCTGTCAGTGTCCCTGGGGGAGGCGATTGGCCGGTGAGCCGGGGCTGTGGGTGAATGGGCTCCTGGCCCCAGCCCAGGCCCTGGGTGATGGGCAGGGAGCGGAAATGTCAGCATAGCCCCTAATCAGTGTCTTTCCCCCCCAGGTTTGCACAAGCTGCCCCTGCCCGTGACACGCACCCGCCAGCCCAGCAAACTCTGCTAGGACGAGTGTGGCGCCAGCCAACGGCTGGGACGTGGGGGATACGCCCCCGTGGGGCGGGGGGGGGGGGCAGCCCCACCCTGACTCGATAGATTTATTTGGGTCTCCTGCATTCTGAGCCGAAGGACCATGGACCCTGCGGAAGGGGCGGGGCCTGTCTGACTTCCCCCTCGTCTGCTTCTGACCAATGGCCTGCGGCCGAGAAGGGGCCAGTAGCCTGCTGTGGTGCTGATGCTGCATTGGGATGTGGGGCAGCGAGGGGGCCCCGTCCCGGGGTGGGGAGACAGGAGAATGCCGTGCTGCTGCTGAGCAGTGCCGCCCCCACCGCTGGAGCCTCCTGGGGGGGATGGCCGCTCCAGGTACCCTGCAGGAAGATGTATGGGATTATAATGGGAGCTGATGGCCAGCACGGGGTGCTGGGGGGAGGGGGTAGGGCCTTGGCTGTGGGGGGCTCCTGGCTAGTCCAGCCCCAGCCTCTCCCAGCAGGGGCGCTGTGGGGAGCGGGGGCTGAGCAGGTGCCGAAGTTGCCTCACGGGCCTTGTTACTAAACTCCTCTGCTGGCCCTGAGCCCCGGGCCCCTGCGCGGCCCCGGGCAGACCCCCGGAGCAGCGGTTACATACCTCACTCACCTGCCCTAAGCGGCTGCCGGCCGCGCCTTCGTCTGCTTCGCTGGCTGCGTCTTCGGTCTGGGCCTTTTCATTTTGTTTTAGTTTATTTATTTATTTTGAACAGCTGCTGCCCTGATGTTTTATGGGTGAAATTACTCCCCCCCCCCCCCCCCCCCCAAGTAAGTCCCTCCCCACTCCCCTTGCCCAGTGAGCTCAGCCCCTCTCTGCTCTGGCTGTCTGGGCCCCCTCAACCTGGGCTGCACCTGACTCTGACACTCAGTAACTTAGTGTGGGGCTCTGGGGGGGCTCATTCGAACACCTGGGGTTTCTTTCTCACCCTGGGCTGCAGGGGGAGGGGAAGGAGGTCTGGCTACAGCCCCCCCTTCGTCCAGCAGGGGCCAGGCTGGTGCCTGATCCTGCCTCTGAGCGGGAGGAGTGTGTGTGTGTGGGGGGGTTTACAGGCCCTGGGGGGGAGGCTATAAACTATCAATTTCCCCCCCTGTGGCATTAGAGCTGGGGTGGGGGCAGAGCTGGAAGGGGTGTGGGCCGGGCTTGCCAGCCCTTCCTGCAGGGCTGAACTCAGCTCTGCTGCGTCCCTCCCCCGGCCCCAGAGCATGGGAGCCCAGGGCCAGCTTGGCTTTGTCCAACGAGTGGGTCAGGTCTCTGCTCCGGCAGGTGCTAGTGACAATGCAGAGCCGCTGTAAACTGCTGTGTGTTTTTTTTTTTTGTTTTTTTTTATTTAAATAATAAAAAGTGTCTTTTACTACATGGTGGGAGGCCAGCGGCCTGCGAGCCACTGGCTCGGTCTGTTGCAAGTCCTGGTGGGAAATGTGGTTCCCAGGTGCTGGAGCGCTGCGTGTCCGTACACACGCACCCTGCAGCTCTCTGCCCTGCCCCTGAACACCCCTGTGCCTGCCCCTTGGGTTCCTGCTTCTCGAGCTGGGCACACCTCTTTCCTCCCCTCTCTGGGCCTGCTCTGGCTGCTGGGGCACCTGGGGGTGTTGCAGCAGGAGCAGGGTGTCTGCTCTCTGGCACGTGTGAAGATGGGGGTGTGACTATGCATGCACAACTTCCTCCCCCCCATCATGGAAGGCCCCACACCCTGTCTGACCCCCCACACCCCCTTTGCAGTTGGGTATAATTACCCATTTTCCTGGCTATAGCTAATGAGCCTCTTCCAGCTCTCTACTCCTCCCATACCCCCAGCCCTAGGGGAGGCTGTGGGAAAAGAGCCGGGGCAAAGGTGAGGGCTGGGCTGCTGGGTGGGTTCCTGGCTTTCAGGGGCCCATTTTCCCTGGCCTGCCCCCACTGTGCCCACAGGCAGAGTCACTGCCGGGTTCTGCGGGCGGCAGCTGGGGCCTAGCTGCGATGGGGAGCAGGCACTCTGTCACTGAGCTTAGGGGGGCTGGAGGTTGGGATTGAGGGGTAGCAGCAGAGCGATGGGGGAAGGGAGCCCACGGGGGGCCTGTGGGTTAGGACTGGGGGCACTGGCATATCTGGGGGCAGGAAGGGAGCCAGGGCTGGGCCAGCAGGGTTGCCAGTGAAGATGACTTGTTCACCTTTTGGCCCAGCTCCAGTCTGCTCTAGGGGCCTCCCCACTCCCATGTTCCTTTTGAACATCAGGACGGCCAGACGGGGTCAGACCCAAGGTCCATCTAGTCCAGTGTCCTGTCTGCCAACCGCGGCCAGTGCCAGGTGCCCCAGAGGGAATGAACAGAGCAGGGAATCATCACGTGATCCATCCCCTGTCGCCCACTCCCAGCTTCTGGCAAACAAGAGGCCTGGGGCACCATCCCTGCCCAGCCTGGCTAATAGCCATTGACAGACCTGTCCTCCATGAACTTATCTAGTTCTTTTCTGGACCCTGTTATAGTCGTGGCCTTCCCAAAATCCTATATGTGGGGGGTGGTTCGTGTGAGGGGGTAGCAAAGCCTCCAGCCACAGGCTGTTTCATGGGGTGTTTGTCACTCTGAGTGCAGAGGAAACTGCTCGGGTGCCAAACGCTCCCACCCATCCTGCCCCGGCTCTGCAGATGGGGGAGCGGCCGCAGGGGGCTGGGAACCGGCCCTGCCTGGCTGTCACAGCTGGGAGTTTGCTGTCTCTTCCCCCACCCCACCCAACCTCCTGTTTTCACACGGGCTGATCAGGAAGCTGGGTGTATATTGCAGGAAATGGAGCCATAGCTGCCCGGTTTCCCTGGAACATGATCTCCTCCCAGTGCCCCGGCCCGGCACCGTGATCCACCCGCCCGTGGGCACTGCTGGGTGCACCTGCCCCAGCCTGCGTCTTGCCCGCCTGGGGGCCGCGGCACTGGGGGGAGCTGGCTCAGCCCTCAGAGCGTGGGCACTGGGCTGCCACCTGGGCCTTGGACCCACAACCTGCGCTGTAGGTGGTAGAGAGACCCTGGGGACCTGCTGGGGGCACGGGTGCCCTGGGGCGCGGAGCCGGCTGGGGGCGCAGGTGCCCTGGGGTGCAGAGCTGTCTGGGGGCGCGGGTGCCCTGGGGTGCGGAGCCGGCCGGGGCTGGGGGCGCAGGTGCCCTGGGGCGCGGAGCTGGCCGGGGCTGGGGGCGCGGGTGCCCTGGGGCGCAGAGCCGGCCGGGGCTGGGGGCGCGGGTGCCCTGGGGCG